TTCACCACAATACCTGGGGTTTGTTGTCTCGCCGCTTGGAAGAAGGAAGAGGGGGACACAGAACGAGCATCGGGCAGAAGTTTATGAAAAGTGTAAGATCAGAAGGGAAGAGTAGTAGCAAAGCTCTCTTTCCTGAGAGGGGACATTGGAAAGTGAACGCCAGGACTGTAGGGGAGGGTCCTTGCTTTATAAGGTTCTGGTCAGCCCTCCCCCTCCGCCATCCCTTCCCCCTTGGTCCTTTTCAGGCTCTACCCTTACTGGCTGGATCGCTCTAGGTGCTGGGTTGTCCATTCCTGATGGGCTCCTTTCCATTGTAGGAGGGGTGGTCTCTGGCCATAAGTATGTCTTTCATCAAATTCCCGAGGGAACCCCGAGGGGGAGTAGGTGGGGTCTGTTCCATTGTTAAGAGGAACCTTAAGCCTGAGGGGGTTTGCTGTGGCCACACACCCCCAGCATTGTTTCCAAATAAGTGTTTTTCCGCAAGAAGGGCCGGGTTGGGTGACGGTGGGGGACTGACAGTGTTCCCTATTTAGATTTGGGGGTGGCTACAGGGGGATGCCCACTTTGTAAAAACGTGTCACCAAGTTGCACCCCAGAGGTATGGCATCTTATTGCATGCATATTTTGAAATAAAACCTCCGTATTTCAAAAAAGAAGTTTAAACGTCCTGTTTCACATAATGAGTCTAGATTTCTGTCTTAGCAACCGAGTGGAAAACTATAAAGCAAGGAGGGAGCCGAAGCCCGTCCTGCGGCGCTGCTCAGGGGTTACAACCTCTCCTCCGGGGTGGGCAAGCCGGATTCCTAACCCAAACTACAAAAGGGTTTATTCGGTTCTTCTATCAGTGAGCTGATGCCCCCAGAGCAAACCAGGCTGGCAGGTCCCCTCTCTGCACAAGGACTGAGAAGTACAGCTGATTTCTGCAGGCATCAGGTGGGCTGCACGTCACTTCATCGTGGACACTTGCTGGCTGCTGGATGGACTGTCCCTGACAGGCGACAAGTCCACACCCTCGAGGAGCTGTTTACTAGCCCGATCCTGACTTCGCATTTAAGACCAGAGAGTCTGGTTGGGCCCACACACTTAACCTTGCAAGCGCTGTCACAGGAAGTCCTAGGGTAACCTCATTTTTCCTAAAGTCAACTGGGGGCAAGATAGAAAAGAGGGAAGCAGGGCCACCGGTGCGTTGCACTGGGAAACCCCCCCCCCCCCCCCCCCCGCACCACGTCACCTCACCTCCGACCCACGTCCTCATTGCTAAATACACTCCCTGAACCAGTCTCACTTTCTGCACAGTTTCACACTCGAGGAAGACAGGATTCACATTGCAATGCTGGTTTAAACTGTAAGTATAGTCTATGTGGCTGAATTCTGCACCTGCTGATAAATGATGCTAAGTCATCAAAGAAGAACAAGGCGGCCAGCTGTCGATCACAGTAGCTTGGTGTGCAAGCCCGTGGATCCGTAGCATGGCCTTCTTTAACCATATGCTCCAAGAAATACTCAGTGTAGATCTTTATATATATAGTATTGATGTGAACAAATCCTGTTTGAAATATGTAAAATATTCATAATTTCAAATACTTTTTTTAACATATTTTTTTAATGTTTATTTATTTTTGAGAGAGAGAGACAGAGACAGAGCACAAGCAGGGGAGGGGCAGAGGGAGAGGGAGACACAGAATGGGAAGCAGGCTCCAGGCTCTGAGCTGTCAGCACAGAGCCCGACGCGGAGCTCGAACTTGGGAACGGCGAGATCATGACCTGAGCTGAAGCGTGACGCTCATCCCACTGAGCCACTCAGGCACTCCATTGCCTGAATTTTTAAAATGACATTTAGTTATATGGGGGCAAACCAAAAGAGGGGTAGTGTCAGCCAAACCCAATAAAAAAGCCAGGCAGAAGGCACTGAAGATTTTTATTTGGTGACTCACGTTAGCAGCAACACTAGGAAAATGACTCACCTCCTCGATCAGGACTCTTGCTCTGCCTATACTGTTTAATTATACTTTTGTAAAACAAAATATGTTGCAAAATATACTTGACTTTAACCAAAAAGCCAAAATCGTGGAAATCAGAGTTCTAAAGAAAGTTTAATCTTGAACGCAAAATACAAATCCTTCTTTGTGTTGTCTTGAAAAGCACATTGTTAACAACACTTCGGTGTAGACTGGAGTGAATTATCGTAGCCCAGGGTCTATTCTTGCATTTACTGTTTAAGCTAGAGAAGGACATTGTTGAATGAAGTAAACTCTTTACACCAGTGACATTTTTAAAAAGACAAGCAAAACAAGGGAGACTGACGTTATAAGATGGCTACGCCAGCATCCACACACGTGATTCCCTACTAGACAAAAATAAGGATAGCGTCCCCAGCGTATCAGGATCCGTTTAACAAGCACACGGCACGTAACATCCTTCAGGATGCCAAGAACCTTAGTGAAGCCTCGACTTCTGTAAAGCTAATAACATGAGTGCTCTTTTGAAAGGCTGGGATACCAGCAGCAGTTGACAAAAAAGAACAGATCAAGAGAAAATACATTCCATTATTATAAACGTACTCATTAACTTCTACCGGAGATTTTATTTTTACAGAATAATTATAGGTATTTTTTCGCTGAATGCTTATGTGCATGAGAATTGGAATGACCCTACAGGAAAAGTTTCTGAAGTAACTGAATAAGCTAGGAAAAATACGTGGTAAGTGTTATCTGGTGTTCCATCAGGTGATACGGAATATTACAGACAAAAAGGGCAAACTTGAAATAAACCAAAAACCTTTAAATAGTGCTTGTATTTTATTTTAAGTCCAACCGTATAATACATTTAAATGGAAGCTTTGTTTAATTACTTTTTTAAGTGTTGAACGCAAGATTTCTGTAAGGTTTTTTTTTCTTACTTCCTACAACGTTAACTGGAAGAGGTGGGGGAGGGGCATATTTAATATAGAGGGGATGAATCCTGAGATTTCCCAAAATGTCTCAATTAAGGTCCTGCGGACATGGGCACTTGTTCCCCGGCGCACAACGGAATGCCGTTTAGGAAGAAATAGGATTATCGCCCCTCGGAAACCTGTGTTTGCTACCAGCCAAGCCGCGATGCCTAAGTTGCTCAACGTGGCTTTTATAGTGAGAGGGCTACTTCTATCTTTCCTCAAACGGGTTCTATTTCTTGTAATTCACATGACACCCCTGGGCTGCGGCTGTCTGTTCAATTTCCTGTTTTGCTCTAGGTTCAGCAAATCAAAACAAATAGCTCACAGAAAAGAGTTCGGTAACTCCTGGTTTTCTTCCTCTGGCATTTCCAGTGAAGTGTTCTCTCCTTAGAGGCACAGAGAAAGGAAGGAATTCGCCGCGAACAAGGTAGAAGTAGGTCACAGAAGTTTCAATGCTCCAAAAAACGTGCCATCTCCATCTTGCGATATTTTAGCGTCTTCCCGCGGTATTGCCAGTTGGAGTTCATCTCCTTCTTCCAGCTTTGCGATGCCTGGAAAACAGTGATTTACAGGGACTTTAAGTGGTTGTACGATGCGGGGGACGTGTATTAAATAAAACTATGTCATGTTGGGAAAATGCTAACGTCCGCATGCACACCTCAAATCACACCGGTAGACGTCTGAACCAGTTACACCATTCCACCAGCCGGAAAACAGAAACAGCTAAAGCAAATGAGCAGAAAGAATGACAACAGATATCACTGTGTTTACCACGTACTGTCGATAAAATGGAGACGCTGAACGGAAACCAATGTCTGGTGGTAAGAAAAAAAGTTAAGTAATCATAGCACGTCGTCTTGATGGGATAGTATATGGTTAAAAGTGGTTTTGCTTCCTTGTATTGACAAAGAAAACTATTTATAATAACGTTAAGCAAAAACACAAAATAGAGATAGAAAAAAACGACACACACCGTGCAGTGTGGGTATGCTGCACGTACACACTTAAATGTGCATATAAAATGTACACATTGTTAAAAAAAAAAAAAGAACCATTCATTAGCTAAGCCTATATGCTAACATAGTTTTCCCTACAGTCCAGACCATAGGATTAGGGCTCATTTGCATTATTTTTTACAGCCTTCTATATTTCATGTTTCCTTAAATGACCATATCTGACTTTATAACCAAAAGCACGAAAGTACTTAGCTTCTCAAAACTGATCGATAAATCTGTGTGTGCCTAGTTTACAGAGATGCATCCTGTGATTCAGGAATACAAAACACAACTCGGGAACTACACTCAGTAAGCACGACGATGCGGACCCCAATACAGACCCCATGTTAAAAGGAAAATAGGAGGGAAAAGGAAGGAGGAGAAAAAACAAAGAAACCAACAAACAAAATAATATCAAAACTGCTAACACTTTCAACCAATAATTTAAAAGGTAGTTGCATTTTCATGAATATGCGGTGAAAATGTATTATAGGAACTATGTTACATATGTTAACATCCATCATCAAACCCAAAGCACCCAGATCTCCTGACAGTCAGTTTTTATTTACTGAATACTTAATGATATGCCAGGCACCTTTCAAGACACACAAGAGCTGTGATCAGAATTACAAAAGTTTCTGTCTCCAAGGATCTTGGGTGTCTGTCTGTTTGTTTGTTTGTTTGTTTGTTTGTTTGTTTGTTTTTGTAACGGACTAAGACAGACAACAAACAAAAGAACATAGTTTCAGGTACTGTGAAGGGTAATTGTACACTTTTCAGGATTAGCAAGGCATTTGATGACTACATTAAATAGTAGAAAGAAAAAAAATAGATTGGAATTTATTTGTTGAAGAAATCAGTTGTTATAAAGGCTGAAGATAATCTAGTATTTCGAAAAGGCTATTGATCACAGAGCATTAAGTAATGCTAACTCTCAAAATAAAGCCAGTGTGAACTATTTTCAAGTAGGTTCTGTTTAAAATTCTAATGCTGAGTTATTGGCTATTTCGAGTCTTCCAGATGATAGCTATCAGCTGTACCTTCTACAACAGACACACTCAGTTTGTTCATGAGATAGTGAGTAAGTGTGTAAAAGAGGCACCTGGTCTTCTGCTGGGCTCCTCACATGGACCACCTACATTTTTTTCCAGGGTATTCTGTATGGAAGCGCTTCACGCACTCAGATACAAATCTGTGGTTTTTAATGGTTTTAAACAGATTTGCCCCAGAGCAGATTAAAATTGCAAACCTGAGGTGTCCTAGAGAACGGTTCTCATGGATGATACTACGCCACAGGCATTGAGACTCAGCTTTACGGCCCAGTTAACTACTCTTAAAAAGCGGGCAGCTAGGAAGTGTGGCCGAGACCGTGAACCCGGAGGGGCAGATGACTAGAAAGCCTCCACGAGCAGCTCGCGAAGTCGTAATTACTGCTGCATGTGAACAGCACAGTCGGGGGGCGGCCTCGCCATTTCCAAGGATCCTGCAACGGCAGGACACTGGTCATCGCTGGGCACAGGGGAGCTTTTCTTTATGAAAATGAGGGAGTTTCAATTTAACACACTTCCTCGTCATCCCGTAACAGCTATTTAAGGCAGTGGATCCAGAATGACAATCGTCTCCGTTTTTATGAACTATTTTCCTTCCTTCCCAATTGGCTTCTTGTGCACTTGTCGGCAGATAGCTTTGCGAGTTAGTGCTTCAAATAGCGTGGCCAGGGGCGCCCGGGTGGCTCGGTCAGCTAAGCGTCCGACTTCGGCTCGGGTCATGATCTCACGGTCCGTGGGGATTCAGGCGTCGGGGCTCTGTAGCTCAGGCCTGGAGCCTGTTTCAGATTCATCTCCTCTCTTGCTCCCTGTTCACACTCTGTCTCTCTCTGTCTCAAAAGCAGTGGAGTAAAACAAATAGCGTGGCCAGTCCCCGGGCCTGTGTTTCACACTGTCTTTTCACAGGAACAGTCTGGAACTGAAGACATTCCTCAGGGTTCTCCATTGGATTTGTCAAAATCACCAGGGAGGAATCAATGTGTTTAAGGCAAATATGGGCTCCCCCCACCCGCCCACCACCAGCTTTGATGAATTCACCCCCACCATGAAATAAAGACTATGTAGGCAAATACAGCCCAAAGGCCTGACATGAACAAATCCCACCCTTCCTCTTTTCTCTCTGCGTCTTCAGGGCCCCTGGGCTGCAGCAGCCTTGCACCTACATGTTCACACCCCAAAGCCATCCGTCTGCTGTCCCTTTCCACCAGAGGTCACCTGTATGAGGCTGAGAGAAAGCCACTGTGCAACTTGACCACTCTGGGGTCACACCGGGTGGTTTATGCCAAGTTCTGGAACTTAGAAACTCTGCAAGCTAGGACACCGTGTGCTGCCTCCCTGTGTCTGGATTCCGCCTCCCTTGAACAGGGCGAATCCTGTGAAGGAGCACAGGTAAGGGACAGACAAGGTCGTCGGGCACGTGGTGACCGTTCTCGTTCTATTACCACTGCTGTCGTTATTATACAGTTTTACCTGCTGAAGAAAACGCAGTTTAGAATTGCTCTCAGTGTCGACAGCTCTGAGTTCGTGCCCTCTCTCAATGTATAGAAACGGGATAGAACTCTTAGTAACGATTTTTTCTGTTTCGATTAAAAGGAACCAGCTCATCATTCAAGAGGAGAAAAAACGCACAGCATATCAAAGAGTGTCTTTCTGTCTATTTATACAGAACTGTTATTTACCAGCGGAATAACAGGAATTATTGGGTAGTGTTTCAGGCATATTTTGAATACATCGGAACAAATTCACCAGACTCAGTTCGTCCCCAAAGACGTGGACTTTTTTCCTCTGTATTAGGTGTCCCATAGCAAAGGTGTTATCCGTGTATAAAACCTGAGGAACAAACCAAAGAACTCTGTCAGAAGCGAGCACAAAAAGGAGGCACTGGGCGGTGGCACAGGTGGGGCGTTGAACCTACCTGCCCGTATATAAAGAAGTAACCGGTTTCTTTCACCAGGATTTTATTTTCCTTTTCTTCCAGGGCCCTTCCTCTTTTAAAGCTGAGCAGCCACGGAACGAACGTGTAGGCTCCTACGATGGAGAGAGTAACTTGTGAGGAAAGCGGTTTTTCACCTCCACTTAGTTGCTAGACCGAGTCTGAAACTTAGAACTGAATTTCATCTTCAAGGAAAAAAAAAAGAAAAAAAAAAAGAGGAAAAGAAAACAAATCAGGGCGCTCTGCTGGTTTTTCAGCTGTGCTTGGCACATTAACCCGGACAACCATCGGAGACAGGAACCTGAGGGCAAACACTTCCTAAGAATGTTCTGCGTTTTCTTTTGTTCTTGTGTATTGCAGCAATTTTCATCACAGAGCCCGGTCTGCATGGGCAGAGTTGGAGGCGAAAGAAAAAAAAAATGCACCAAATTTCTCTGAATAACACACTTACACAAGTTTTCTGGTTTTTCCTTGCTTCCCAGAGAGGAGGGGGCTAGCAGGGGGAGAATTTAGGGAAGGGCATCAGGGGAGAAGCCCCCTCCCCAGCGCGCTGGGCAACAGAAGAGAGCTTCCAGAGAGCGTGGGAAGTTGCCAAGACATAGCCTTTCCTAGGACATGGTCAAGGAACTTGGCAATGTCCCTCTGTAATATTCACATAAAGTGGTTTGTGCTCAGCACATGAATTCTCCTCCGGGACCCCTCAAGCTTCCCTGGGGAGTGACAGGGGAGCTGCGGTGTGGAAGAACCCCAGGAAGGGTGCAGACAGCAGCCAGCAGCTACAGAAAATGGGTCAGCCGGAGGGGACCCGATCTCTGTGCCAGAACACGGTGTTTCGGGACAGACGCCCTTGAGGAGGGTATAAACGCTCCTCTCCTGTGAATCCACAGTGTGAAGTCACTGGGTTTCTCACCGTCATGTAAAGATTGGAGTAAACGGCGAACCCTGAGGCCAGATTAAGAACTGTGGGATTGGGGGGGGAGGGTAGAAGCAAAATAGCATAAAATAATCGAAAAGAAGATGAGGGAAATGGTAACATACAGAGAGAATAATAAAATGAAACTGTGGTGGTCTAAAATAGTATAAAAAGTGTTCCCATATGATTGGTCATGTTGGACCACACGCGTCCCCAAGCTTCACCTCGGTCGTAGCAAAAAGGGAAACAATAATCAAATTCAGAGTCCATGGGACAATATGCCAGAAGCTCAAGAAAAAAACAACTTGTCCTAGACTGAGTTTAAAGAAAATGTTCCCTGGGGATTTCTGAAAGGGGCTGCACGGTAGGACGCAGCAGCTGGTAACGCTTTCACATTCGTAAACACAACTGCTGAGTGCGTGCACCCACTTCAGCGAGCTCCCCGAAGGCCAACCCGTCACATCTGAACTTTTTCCAAATGGGATTCTTGAGGGAAAAATAGAAAATGAAAACTACGCATTTTCTGAATGTTTGGAGGAGGAAAGGACCCGAGGTGATCACACAAAGCAAACTACCCCTTGAACCTGAGTTCAGTTCCCTGAGGCAGCTCTCCCAGTTGACATGCCCACAGGTGCAGGGCGGGCGCTGGGAGGGAGAGCCAGAGAGGAGAGACAGGTGCCCTTGTCCCTCCTCTCGTGTATTCCCAGGACCTGCATCAGTCCCCCAGGGGAGCCAATGCTCCCACAGTATCCGGCAGACCCCCACACCACCTCGCTTTGCTGTTCCCAAGGTCTGTGAGGAAGCTTTACTTCAGTAAAACCCACCAGTGCCACTCTGGATGGTGACAGTCCCTGGATAAAAGATCTCCCCAGTTACAAGTCACAGAGACAAACTCATCATCCCGTTTTGATACTGCATCATTTCAGTGACGAGATGACAATAAGGTAGTTTCACATTTGTTTAAATGAGATCATGTACCCAAGGCACTTTCAAAGACAGCTGAAAATACGAGGAAGAATTAATCATCCTGGTTGTTCTTACTGAAGGCAGCTGCTCTCGTGGGTTCCAAGACCCAAGAGATGCTCTGACCAAAGAAAGGCGTCTTTTCCCTTCAAAACAGTACACATGTCGGATCCCGACTTCTCTGGGTTCAGACACTGTTTATGTTTGGTTCTCTGCTATTTGCCCAGGGCCTGACACCATGCCTGGCTTCCAGCAGACATGCAGCAAATATTTACCGAATTAACTAATTCAACTTTAAACATAAGCTAATTCAAAATGGCAGGGCGTTCTCTGCAACTACCCGCAAGCATCCGATCGTTTTTTAAAAGCATTCTGTTATTTACGTATTTGTTTATTTACTTTAAAAGCATTTTGTGAGCTAGTTACTGAAACCGTGTGAAATGCGACATCACTCGTGAACTAAAGTAGCACACAGAGTTCTAAAACTGGCTAGAGATGTTTACTTACTAAACATTTTTTTTTTCAATGTCGTAGGTTGATTTCCTATTTCTTTACACCATACTTATATCTATAAAATCAGTGAGGTGCTTTTTACCCAATTCCGCCGCTGTATTGTCAGCAAAGAAAGAAAAACAAATAGTTACTAGGTATATATTCTTACGTCCTCTCGGCATTTTCTTTTGGCATTTCATCCTATCTTGCTGGGAATGTTCTCATTAAAGAGAGTCAGTGCATGGTTACCTGTTTTAATGTACTGTCTGCATTTCTCCCCTACTGCACACACACACAGCACACACACCCACATACACGCACACGCGCGCACACGAATTCTACTCCCTAAGGCCAAATGCCAAGAATACAGCCCAGCACAGTATATGCACTCAGTGAATACGTGCTACTGAATGAGTGTCGAATCCTTTAAGCAAACAGACAAAACAGTAAATTAAAAGTAATTATAAACTTAAGCATAAATATTATAACATGTTTCTACATATTAAAACGTGCTTAGATTTTTCACATGCAAATTAGACTACAGAGAAATGCTAATGAAAAAATACACACGAAGTGCCTATTCTGTAGGATGCTTTTCTTTTTTTTTTCGTTTTTTTTTTAACATTTATTTATTTTTGAGAGACCGAGAGAGACAAAGCACAAGTGGGGGAGGAGCAGAGAGTGAGGGAGACACAGAATCCAAAGCAGGCTCCAAGCTCTGAGCTGTCAGCACAGAGCCCGGACGCAGGGCTCGAACCCATGAACCACGAGATCATGACCTGAGCCGCAGTCGGACGCTTACCCGACTGAGCCACCCAGGCACCCCTGTAGGATGCTTTTGTAAACCAGAATGCATTACTACTTATAGTCAGTATTTGAAAATTCGGAAGTACACTCCAAGAGTATTACTGCTTATTTTATCTTTGCTAGTCCACAGCTAAAATACAGATGTGCTGTGGTGTATAAAAAGGCTGAACTTCCCACCTCCACTCAGCTGTACATACTTGATGTACTGATCTGTTTTTGAAAACTTAAGAAAATTAATGTGTGCAACGACCTGCGAAATTCAGTAAAAAAATTGCCAGTATTAGTTTGTGAAAATAATTTACGCGTGCACTTGAAAGTGTTTGCTCTTAAAAGAGTATATCTTTCCTGTTCTGACATATAACAAATACATAAATTTTAGGTTGACAACATTTTATAGAAGAATCAGACATATTTCATTAATATTTGGTTTTTATTCTATTTTATCAATTGGACGTTTCCTTGCAAACATTCGTACCCCCAGTGTTACCTCCTTCAACAGCTGGAAATAGATGCTCAGACAGCAGCTGTCAATCAGAGCTGCTACATTGGTGATTTCTCTTGATTTTTAAATGTTATTATCGTACAGCTGCCGGAAATAGTTTTAAGGGATAAAATATTGATAACACATTTTTAAAAAGAGAAAGTAAACCAATTCAAGACATCGTGATTTTTTTGTATAAAGCAAGTATAGTGTGGCCTGGAAATCCATAGTTATCGTAGGCTTGGTTCCATAGTTGAGGTGGAGCAAGGGAAATCAGGAGAAAACAAATGCAGCCGGGCAGAGCTGAGGGGCAGAGCTGTATGGAGGGCAACTGGAGGCCCCTGTAGGGCTGTGAGCAGTGGAGAGAAATGATTATTCCATCTTTTAGAAATATCACGATGCGGCTTCCAGGCAAGAAAAGGTACAAAAATGGGGGCAAAGAACCAGCCAAGGTGGGAGATGATGGCCGTCTGTACCAGGATGGTGAGATGGGAATGAGCGAAATGGATTAATGCAGGTTGGATTCATGGGGAATAACTCGTAGGGTTTTGCGATTAACGTAAGGTGTTAGCAGGAACAGTCAAGAATGACACCCAGCATTCTGGGTTAGAGAAGCGAGGACACAGCCATCACACTAAATGACAGAGGAACACTGCAGGAAGGGATCTGGGGACAAGTTCTACAGTGAGGCTGAGGTGCCACCAAGTTGTAAAGGAAGAGATGTGTACATGCTTGGAGCTTGGTGGCTCGAGCTAAAGATCTACATCCAAACCATCAGCATGTGGCTGTTATATGACAACACAACACAGTATTTAAGAACACCACAGAAACAAGGTGAAAACAAAAGAGAACAGGACTACATCAGAGGTCTTGAAACACATCAATATGGAGGAGATACATTTAGGAGTAATTTGCAAAGAGATTTAAAAGGAGACGCCGAAAAGAGAATGGTTAGAGAAACAAACTTCAGGAAGCCTGTGTTTCTAGAAGAAACAGTCGTCAAGTGTTAAATTCTACTGGGAGATTAAAAGTAAATCTCATCCTCGCCTCTAGGAAATAATTACGAAACAATTACGTAGCAAAGCAGAAATAAACAAGGGACTTCCGCCATCAACATGATTGAGGAAAATACATCTGCCCTTTCTTTACCTCTGTTAAGTCATGTGAAAGAAATGGACAGAAAGAAATGGCACGTTTTCCAGAGTAAGTTGAAAGGGTAACAAAGTCACTGAGCTCACACCGGGCTGGGTGTGGAAGGGCAGAGAGGAGGCAGAGAAAATAGCGACAGGTCCTGGCAGTGGCCAACTTCATAAAGAGCCAGCAAAAGTCAACTCCCTAAAGGTGAAGAAGCCCTCACATGTACACAGAAATCTAGAATCTTACCATCCTGGAAATTTCAGTGCGGGTTAAAAGAACTTGGAAGACGAGGAGGAAAAATC